GGACACAAGAGCTGAAGTGACTTATACAACAGGACCTTTTCCTTATGAGAGAAAATGCAAGTATAAGTGTAAAAATACCTTGATAAATTTCCTGTACAGAAAAGAACTTTCAATAAATATGTACAGTGCTCGGATTTTGCTTAAATGATTACATTTTATCTTATATTTGCTGTTATGAATTGAAACAGTTTTTTTAAATACATGAAACTAGTCTGAAGTGTTAGAGAATATAATGGCAGGTAGTCAACGTTGTTAGTGCAACAACTGATATACATGCCAAGGAAGTAGCGCTAGGATGAAATGATTATTTTAGAAAAGGGATCAATGACCCTGCAATGCATTTAACTCTTTGCTCTGTTTCTGTGTGTGTGTGTGTTTGTGTGTGCATTCCGTCACATTTCCACTACTGTGAATTCCTTTAGAAATCTACAGAGTTGACTATTTAATTTTTAGCTCTTCTTTCGTCTTCTTTCCTCCTCCTCCTCCTTCTTCTTCTTTTTTTTTTTTTTGCAGATAACCCTGTCATTAGAATATGTTCTTTTTCTTTATTTACTGAGAGTGTTTCTGCTGGCTGTCTACGTCAGCTGTTCTTATTGAACCCCATGCGCTATCTGTGCACTCTTCCCATCTACAAAGCTGAGACAGCAGCACTTAGGGTATTGCTGTTTCTCATCAGATTTTCTTTCTGGCTCTTCACTCCCTTGCCTGTTGGGACCGTCTCCTGGATATGGCAAACGGGGCATTGCCATGGGACCTGCCCTTTGCTGCCCCAGCTCCATCTGCCAGCATCCCTGACACTGCCCACTGGGTGTTCGGCTTCATGGAGGGGCTCTCCGAGGACTAGAGAAAGGTGGCCTGGTTCACTGCATTGAGAGCCACCCACGCCCTGCAGGGAGCCCCTCTCCTCCCGCCGTCATGGCAGAAGCTGCTCATGTGCGGGTTCTGCTAGAGACTCCCCTCCCCCTGTAAAGCAGATTTAAATTTATTTAATCGCTCAAAAGACACTGTAGTGGGGATACTCAAGGCTCTCGCTTGACTTGTGTTCTCAAGACCTGGGACTGGGCCTTGGAGAATCCTAATTCCATTTTACACAGCACTACACCTCACAGGCTAGGGTGGCTACTTGCATATGACATCATTCATTCTCTCATTCATCCATTCACTCATTCACTTAGTCAATGTTGATCCAGCAGCTCCTATTCTAGGTTTGCAGATACTCAAGTAAACAAAACAGAAAAACGAAATCTGACCTCAAAAAGCTTACATTCCAGTCGGAGAAGACAGAAAATAAATATATTAAATAATTAAAAATATGTTAGAAGATGATGGCTGTTTTTGGAAAAAATAAAGCAAGAAAAGAGGAGTCAACAATGCCAAGGGGTGGAGACTTTGCACTGTTAAATTGGGTTCTTGGGGACGTCCCCATCAGAAGATGGCATTTGAGCAAAGAGTGGAAGGAGGCTCGGGGGTAGCCGTGAAAAGTGAGGGCATTCCAGGCAGAGGGAAGAGCTAGTGCAAAGGCCCTGAGGCAGAGAGTGCCTGCAGGCTTGGAGGGACAGTGAGGAGGTCAGTGTGTGTGTAGTTCAGTGAGGAGGGTAGGAATAGGAGATGAGATCAGAAAGGCATTGTGAAGACTTAGAGTAAAAGTCAGTCATTTGCTTAACATCGCTAAGCCTCAATTGCAAAATGAGAATCATAAATGTAGTTACCTTGGAAGGTTGTTTTAAGGATGCACTAAAGTAAGAAATGTAAATGCTTAACGTCATGGCACACACGCAAGTAACATTCAGTGCATGGCAGGTAGTACTAGTTGTTCTTAGTGCTTGTACTAACTAGGTAGGTTACTAGAGGCAAACTCTCCAGGGGCAGAACCTATTGGGTTTGTTTTCTGGCATTTTTAAATTTAAATTTTTTTTTTGAGACAGAATCTCACTCTGTTGCTCAGGATAGAGTGCCCGTGGCATCAGCCTAGCTCACAGCAACCTCAAACTCCTGGGCTCAAGTGATCCTCCTGCTTCAGCCTCCAGAGTAGCTGGGACTATAGGTGCATGCCACCATGCTTGGCTAATTTTTCTATTTTTAGTAGAGATGGGATCTCACTCTTGCTCAGGCTGGTCTTGAACTCCTGAGCTCAAGGGCTCCTCCCACCTCGGCCTCCCAGAGTGCTAGGATTATAGGCATGAGCCTCTGGGTCCAGCCTATTTTTTGGCATGGAATTCTCAGACCTGGTGCAGTTCCTGGCACACAGTCAGCCCCCAATTCACATTTGAATATTACTGCTGTCATACCTTATTCTAAGAAAGCATTTGAGGTGGTCTTAATTGATCTACATTTAATTCCTACTCATTTTCTGTTGCTCACAGAAGTATAACCCTTCCCTTTCGCCTTCTCCACAGGAACATGTTTTTGGCGTGATCATCACTTGACATCAAAGGCGTGGTGCTGTGTTGCGGAAAGGACCCTTGGCGGGGGTGGGAGACGTGGCATAGTCCTGCCTCTCCTTTGCAGTGGCTGGGGGCGGGGAGCGGGCCATTCAGCTCCTCTGCCCTTCCGCTTCCCAGCAGTGACAGGGATTCAGAAAAAAATCCCTCTCTATTTCAGGGTTGTTTTGAGGACAGATGAGCTACTAAATGGCGATGTTCTTTGAAAACTCAAATGGCCATTTTTGGGGGTGTAGTAAAGGGGGTGTTCCCCTTTACTGTGGCAAGGGTGGGTACTTGTGCCTCGACTAATTTTTCTGGAGAAATGTTGGTTTATGCTGTGCTTGGAGACTCTTGGGAGGAGGCTCCCGCCTCTCCGAGGACTGGCAGTTGTCAGCAGTTGGCTGTGGGAATGGGGTGGAAGCCGGGGAGCCTCTCTGGCCACCAGATGAGTGGTCTTTGCCTTAGTGATGCCGCTCTCTAAGCTGCACAACGGAGGCTCAGACTTTCAGAATTAGCTTTTGTATTGATGTGTTGTGATTTAAATGCATTTCTGTTTTTTTTTTTTAATGCATGTATTAAAATCCTTATTTGTGACTAGGTCACCCTCAGATGTTTTATAAGGTGCTTTCAGACACATGGCTTTAAATGTCCCCTTTGTGATAGTTAATTAAATTCTTTCTTCTTCTTGTCAAATAGTTGTTGAGGTGACACCCATTCCAAGCAGCCTTCCTAAAAATAAATCAGAAAGGAGATAACAACATTGTGACTAAACCAGCAGTTCACACCCCTCCCTCATCACTCATTGCTTGCCAAAGATGGATCAGTCTATCTGTTTTCATTTCTCTCAACTTAAAAAAAAAAAAAATTCCTCCCCCCCCAACCCACATAGGCTGGGTTCCTTGACATGGTAGGGATAGAGCCCTGGACATGGCAGATAAAATGCCTGCATTCACGGAGCTCACATTTTTTGTGAGAGAGAAAAAAAGGGTTATTTTAGATTTTGTGGTGAGGCAAGGCTTCTCTGAGAAGGTGATGCTTGAGCAGAGAACTGAATGACATGTGGAAGACAGCCATGCAAAGTCTGGGAGAAAAGCATTGCAGGCAGAGGGCCCGGCAGGTGCAAAGGTCCTGAGGTCAGAATGAACTTGCTACAGTCCAGGGAGGGGTGAGGAGAGAAGGGGACAAGGGAGGAGGAAGGTTTGTGGGAGGAGAGGACTTCAGAAGGCAGCCAGGGGCCTGGTCAGGGAGGGCATTGTCTGTGAGGAAGGAGTTTGAGTTTGAGTTGATAGATTGTACATATTTTAAATTTTGACAGTTTAAATATTCTCTTCAGGCACTAACCCATCGATTCCTATCTGAGATTCTGTGAAGGAATGGCCAAGTGATAGCATAGACTTAATATGGTATTTTTGGAGCTTCATTTGCTTCAATCCAAAAATCCCTTAATATTCCTTGAGGAGTTTGTTGGAAATTGTTCGATGAGGATAATTAGCAGACCGAGTAGCCGATTTACCATGCAGAATTCTATCCACGTGTGTTTAAGTGCACGGACTCATTTCAACGAGAGAATTGAGGGTCCCATCTCCCTGTCATTTATTCTGTACTGAATCCTATGTTGGGGTCAGCCCCAGTAAGCCAGGGCTATATCAGATAGAGATCTAATTTTCTTTCATCACAGAAACAAGTTGTAATCAAATAAGCCCTGAGACTATGCCTGAGTGCTGGTGCCGTCTTGAGAGCAGCAGACGATCTTTTCACATTGTTTTGCAGCGTGTCTGCAAGTACCAGCAATTGACCATTCAGCGGTCAGTGGCAGGGGACTCAGAGATAAACACTTTTCTCAGGGCATGGACACAATTTAAAGAGATACATCTGAATTTTTATCTTCCGTATCCAGTGGGGTCACATTTCTCTGTAATGACCCACCAAAGCCATGAGATAACATTTTACAAGATGCTGCTTAATTTAACTCTCCACCACACTCTCTTCCTAGCTAGCATTTGTGATGCAAACTAATCGTTTTGGAAACCTTTAATTAACCAGCACAGAGTCACCTTAAGAAGGGTTGTTGGTCAGGCAGGAAACTGAGAGGTGTAGGTGAGCACATCTGTAGGGCGGATAAACTGGGCAGTCATTTCTCCTGAGGAAACCTTGCAAAGGTCTAGGATGTGAAAAAGGAGATTCCAATTTAGATTTCTAATATCATTTGCTGTGATCAACTGCTAAAAATGTCAAAGTTGGTATCTCTCTAGATAAGCCTCAGTATAAACTATTTTGCCTTAGAAAATTCCTCTAAATGATGTGTTCCCGAAATCAACACTATGGAGGGATTTGGGGGTTTCGAGGAGGCTGTCCTCCACTGTGTATTTCCTCGTGGGGTGCCTGGTACCCGTGGTAAGGTTAGTGTTGAGATGACCTTGGGGAGACCCCCCCCCCAGCACAAGTCGTTAAGAACGTGGGTTCCCCAGGAGCAGCGTTTCATTAGGGCAGCCTCTCTGAGACACAGAGCTCATTTCCCAGCGATGGCCCCACTTCTCTTACGAGGGAATAATTGACCCATTTATGGTCTCGTTTCAGCTTGTTGCAGATCCTTGTGCCAGCAACCCTTGTCACCATGGCAACTGCAGCAGCAGCAGCAGCAGCGACGGCTACCTCTGCATCTGCGAGGCAGGCTATGAAGGTCCCGACTGCGATCGCGCCCTTCCCAGTCTTCCAGCCTCGGGCTGGACCGAGTCCGTGGCGCCCAGACAGCTTCAGCCCGTCCCCGCCACCCCGGAGCCGGACGTAATCCCTCCACGCTCCCAGGCGGCCGAGACGCTGCCCACCTGGCAGCCGAAGACAGGGCAGAAAGTTGTAGAAATGAAATGGGATCAAGTGGAGGTGAGCGTTGTGTGGCATATATTTTCATGCAAGACTCCAGACATGCTAAAATAACTCCAGTGGCTCTAAAATCAGCAATAAAAGTGGGAGATGTTTTGAGTAACCCATCGAGCAAACCCATGCATGTGCCTCGTTTTACTCCTGTCTGCACTTGTGTGCACAATGGTTTTGTGAGCACACAAAGAACAAGCAAACACAAAAATGAATAAAATTATTTTCTGGAATGATATCCACATGCATTTCTACGAGATAATCTCAGATTTTGGGGGAGGGGGGAAGACAGCTCGATGTGGCATCATATAAAGGAATATATCACAGGCTCTTCCATTGCTGACCTAATTTTCCTCCGTGGTGTATCTTGTTCTGTTAAGTCTACTATAACAAAAATGCCACAGAGTGGGTGGCTTATAGACAATGGGCATCTATTCCTCACGGCTCTGGAGGCTGGGAAGTCAAGACCAAGGCAGGGTCGGAGTCTGGTGAGGGCTTTCTGGAGCTTGCACAGGCTTTTTTTTATAAGGGCACTAATTCCATTCATGAGCCCTGTCCCTTCATGACCTATGCCCCAAACAAAGGCCCCACCTCTTAATACCACCCCCTTGGGGGTTAGGATTTCATCAGATAAATTTTGGTGGGGGAACACAAATATTTGGACCATAGCTGGGTATTATACACAACTATTTGTGTGTGTGTGTGTGTGTGTGTGCGCGCGTTGCTGTTTATTGGTTAGGTTCCATTTTTGGTACCTTGCTGTACTTTAGTGGGATTTAGAAAAAAGAAGCTACCATTGATTTTTAAAATATTTTGAGAATGCATTTGAAAAATAAACTTCCAAATTTTATTTATTTTGGCAATAGCAAATTCTATTTGTTGAAACTTTTCCCATCTGTGCTTGGCTGTTGTATCTTTACGCTCTTCAAAAGTCTCAATCTAAGGATTTTTTTTTAGCAGACTCCTAAAAGTTGACATAAAATATAAATTCCCTAGGTAGAAGAGTTGGGGAACAAGTCCAAATAATGAGTTTGAGGTGACATTGATAGAGTGTAATTTCATTCTGTATCTTACACTTTATAAATATGGCATTCATATAAACCTGTGGTGGCATATTATTACAAGTTTTGTAGTTTAGATGAAAAACACACAGATCTTTGTATAGCATGTATTAAAGTCAAGGAATGTGTCTAGAAATTTCTGTTATTGTTATATTAATAAAAGGGCTAGGCAGCATTTCTCCTTTTATTTTCTTGGGTAATTCTAACCAGTTGACCCACTTTTTTTTTTTGCATTGCCATGCAGTTTATGAAAGACACATTCAGACTGCAGGGCAATGATCTTAGCCTACCTGAGAAGCTGTGAACTTGTTCTGATTTCAGACTTTTAATAAATGCTTTGAAGTTATGATTTTAATACCTCTTTGCTGGCCGACTCACTTCTTAAATGTGAACTAGATTTGATTTTTATTTTATTAAGGAAGTGTCCTTTAAGGAAAATTTCTCCCTAATCAGCCATTTCAATCTATTTACTTAAATGCAAGCTATTTTATGGATGGCAAGTGTAAGAAAGAAATGCCTCACCTTCCCATCATGTGTTATTTCTTAGGCTGTTCTAGAAGAAGGTTGCAAAGTGCCAGAGGAAGAAATGTGAATGTGTTTGGGCTTCCCCCTTTTCATGAAGTCATGAAGCTCTGGAAACATAAAGTTATTTGGAGCTCAGAGGACTAAAATTTATATAATTGCTGTCTGTTACACAAATTTAATACGTTAGACTTACATCTTTGAATATGAATGGTGGACTTTATCCACATCATTTAGCTGTGGATGAAGCATTCTGGAAAATAAGTTCTAAGTGTTGGTTGTGGGGTGAAATTGTTGAGAGTTTCTGTATTGTTCTCAGTTAATTCTGTGACGAGGAATACATTGCATAAATTGGCCAGAAGCGATCTCACTGGACACAACTCAAGTGTTCATAATCTGGCTTTTGATGAGCACAGTTCTCCCCACCTTAATTGGGCTCCTTTTTTATTTATACACGTCAGCATAATACTTTTGGGACCGCAGTTTAAAAATGAAGGTGTAGCCCACAAGGAAAAAGGACGGCTGTTTTCCAGCTTTCCAGCCTCAGCACGTGTTCCTGAGACCCTCAGCATCCAGAAGGCTCGTGCAGACCAGCTACGCCTTGCCCTCTGCAAGTTTGCAGGCTCACTGTCCTGCCGTTAAGGCTGAGTACACCTGCTGTTCGTGAGCTGGTCCGCCTCCCGGCTCTTTAAGCATTTGGTCCTGGTTACTGTCAGGCTGAGCACAGAGCAGCGGCCAATGACTGCTTGTCAAATGAAAGGAAAGAGAACAGGGAGTGAAACCCTGCTAACTTCCCTGCAATATCCTATCGATCAGTTTTAACAATCCCAGGCATTTGTAGACTGCTGTCAAGAAAGCTTTGGCATTTCAGGAAATCAAATGGCCAAGCTTTCACTGTCTTTGGAGTTCATGAGGTTTCACTTATCCCCTCTCTGTTCCCCCCATCATCATAGAAAGGTAGGAAGGAGATGCAGCTGGTGGAATTTGGCTTTATGTAATAATATTATCTTGCACTGTGATCAACCCCAATAACATGTCTTCCCCCTTCCCCCAGGTGATCCCGGATGTTGCCTGTGGGAATGCCAGTTCCAACAGCTCTGCGGGTGGCCGCCTGGTATCCTTTGAAGTGCCACAGAACACCTCAGTGAAGTAAGAAAACTATTAGCTAAAAGCTGTCAAGATCGATACTATGACCTGTGAGCTAGGCTGTGTCCATCCATGTAACTGGTGTGTAACTGGCCAGTCCAGTGAGAATCATGAACAGATTCCATGTGTAGACGTGGCCTATGTCACTGAAAAACTAGAGGAGATTACGGTTAGGGGCCAGGCAGGCTGGGGTTGTGGAGTTGGGAAATTGGACTGGCTGAGTCAGGTGTGAGGTGAGAAGCCCTGAGGCCTTGGATGAGACCAGAGCCAGCTGCCTCCTCCCCCACAAGATTTCTCTTCCCACATTATTGGTCTCTTAAGATTTGAATGGACCATTGGTTAAATTCAGATGCATCATTTGCCCCAAATTGAGTATCTGCATATTACAATTTTCTCTTTAAAAGCAAGCAGCCAAAAAGAGTGGTTTGTGTTTCTTTAAAGAATTTAAGCTCTTTCAAATGACAGACTGCCCACTGGCACTGGTGGGGGTGGGGCAGGGGCAAAGGGAGGTGGCGTTGGCTGACACCTGGTGTGTGTCCGTGCTTTAGGAGAGGCTCAGAGAAGCCGGCAGCTGGCCAGGAGCGTGTAGCCAGCGAGTGGGGGTGGCACCAGTATCAGAGTGTACACGACCCCCACGGCCTGTGCCTCACTGTTGCCATTGACTGCCACCCTGCCCTCACTCCCTGCAAACCTAATGGGCATTTGCTGTCCAGTCTTTGGGGATTTTAGAAGACTGGGGCCTTTGTTCACCAGTTTGATGCCTTGGCTCCTTTTTAAGGGGTCGGTGGGCCCTTTGGGCCTCTTCGCTGTGTACAGGGTCATTTTGGCCCGCCTTGCTTTCTAAACATGGAGTCCCTGCAAATGTCTGGAAGAGGGACTTGGTTACATTGCCCCTGCATCCCCTCCCCCGCCCCAGCCTTAAACTCTCACTGGGTGGAGAAGAGCCAAGAAGGGCAGCGAACTCCTACCCGGCACAGGAGGAAGATCTGCACGGGCGTGAGGCAGCTTCCAGCTCTACCAGCAGGGGGAGCCCGCTCCCCAGCGTTTCCTTGCTCAGGCTGCACACGAGCCCCCGCCGGCCCCGGTCTTAGGATCAGGGCCAGTGACAGTGCCTTTACTTTCACGAAACCACCCCTCAGCCTTTCTTGTTTAGGTCATATTATCTTAACTATCTAAGTCTTTCCAAAGGTTTTCGTCTTCTATCCCCTTAAATGCTTTTGTTTCCTTCCTCTCCACCAACCTGATTGTCTCTGCGACTCTCAGGCTGCAGAACTGGACAGAAATAGCAGAGAATGACCCCTGCTGAATGGATGGGGGTGCAGAATGTGGAGGTTACCGGCTCCTTTTACCTTCATTTCTTCGTGAATCTAGTCACTTATTGAACCTTCACTGAGGCCCCTGCTGCAGTTGGGGGTGGGTGTTCTGTGCAGACCAGTGGTCTCCTGACCCAGGTAGAAACCCAGTTCTCCAGGAGCATGGGGGGGGGAGCCGCAGCCGGGGTGGTGGGGACACGTTTCCCAGGGACGGTTTCCCAGGTGGAGAAGAAGGATACAAAGGTTGGGAGCCAGGAAAGACGGGTTGGGGCACAGCCAGTAGCTCCTTCTTGCTGGAGCTTTGGGCCACTAGGATGGGGGAGCAGGAATGAGGCTGGAGGGGAGCTGGCCGGGGTGACTGGGTTTCTAGACATCGCATCCTCTGGGTTTTACACTGAAAATAAGCCAGGGGACCTGAAGCACGCAGAGGTGGGAGGGACACGCATTTGCTTATTTTGGCAGCATAACTTAGGTGCGTACACGTATGTACTAAATTTACGCAAGCCTCTTTTTTATATCGTGCGGATATGGAAGCATTTGCCGTAAAAAAACAACAACTCAAGGTACTCTTTTGTTATTCATTAAAATGGTTACCCAAAGGTGAGTTGCTGATCAGTCATTTTGTGGTATATTTTGAACAAGTGGGAGGTGGACATTTCTAACAAATGTGGGAAACTTTGCGCACAAAGTGGATGCTTGTTTGTGAGATCATGTCATCAATTTCCTGGTACCTTTGTGAGTGCACATGTTGTCTTTATTTTTAATTTGATGGTCTGGTTTTAAGATGAATTTTTTTCAGAAAGGGACTTTCTGTTCACATGATTCCTGTTTTCAGGATTCGGCAAGACGCCACTGCTTCGCTGATTTTGCTATGGAAGGTCACAGCCACGGGGTTTCAACAGTGCTCCCTCATAGATGGCCGGAGCGTGACCCCTCTCCAGGCCCCAGGGGGCCTTGTTCTCCTGGAGGAGATGCTCGTGTTGGGGAATAACCACTTCATTGGTGAGTTATGGAAACCTTCTACTTCATACCACGTCTGATTCAACTCATCCTTGGTTTGGTGTTTAGAGATAGGTAGGTAGGGAATTTTGCCCAGATAATCTGAATTCTAGCCATCAATACTATTTTCTTCATTTTTGGAAAGGTTTTACAACCACAACTGGGTTCTAATGTATTTGCAGTGAGGCTCAAATTGGAGAAAGCGTGAGCTCTGGAATCCAGCGACTGGATTCCAGCCCTGGCCAGAGCATCATAATGGTGTGATCTTTGGCACTTAATGTCAGTTTTCCTTTTGAGCGTTTGTCCATTTTTCTCCAGGAATTGTGGACAACTTGAGATGTTGGATGTTGTTCCCACTTGATTTTAGCCTGACTTAGGGCTGTCAGGCACAGCACTTCAATATAGTGTTTCCCCTAAAATAAGACCTACCCATAAAATAAGCCCTAGCAGGATTTCTAAGCATTTGTGCAATAGAAGCCCTAGCCCGAAAATAAGACCTAGTGATGGGCATGGCTATGCAGCGTGTCTGCACAACCCATGCATTTTGTCACTGAGCTGTAAAGAAGATGAACAGCCCTTCTCATCTGCCCCATCGTGACAGCTACTATCCCAGAGGTGACTGGAAAGGTGCGGGCAGCCCCACCAACAAGGCCGGCTCCCCCTGTCAGGTCCTGGCCATCCTGTGCATGCTGCAAGCTGAGGCTTTGAGGGGAAAATAGCACATCCCCTGAAAATAAGCCCTAAGGTGTCTTCTTGAGGAAAAATATATATAAGACCCTGTCTTATTTTCAGAGAAACACGGTGGTGATTGGCCACATCAGAGCCCCTGACTTAGTAGTAACTCGTGGGATTACAACTCACTTTGGGGTCCCTCTCCCCCACAACCATCCATCCTGCATGAGTCAATTCTACAAACCCTGGGCTCAAGCAATCCTTCTGCCTCAGCCTCCCGAGTAGCTGGGACTACAGGCATGTGCCACCATGCCCGGCTAATTTTTCTAATATATTAGTTGGCCAATTAATTTCTTTCTATTTATAGTAGAGACGGGGT